CGGCGGTGGCGGTGGCGGTGGCACTGTCGTCACTATCATTGGTGTTGGCGGTGGCGGTGGCGGCGGTGGTACGAAAGATGTAGGAGGTACGATGATTGCTGCTGGTATTCCTCCAGCACCACCTCCTCCCATTCCTCCACCTCCTCCTCCTCCACTTCCTCCTCCCATTCCTCCTCCACTTCCTCCTCCACTTCCTCCTCCACTTCCTCCTCCACTTCCTCCTCCCATTCCTCCTCCACTTCCTCCTCCACCTGACTTACAATCACAGACTAGATTCTGCGCAGGCGGTGGTGTTATAGCAGGTCTGAGGACACCTGTTGCTCCTCCTCCCCCAGAGGATCCTCCTCCGCATATAATCTCACAGTTATTCACTGTACTTTTCACTAACACAAACTTAAAAATACATAGAAGTATTCTGTTTATCATGTTGAGTACAGTTTGATAAAATATTTATATTTTTTCTTAAGACATATTGTGTTTCATCCTCAGGTCTATTACTCATCATGTTTCATGTGCCTCTGTTTAATGTGTCGTAACGCCCAATAAAATAATTTCAAACAGCTTGAATGATTCATCATGGCCTTCTAATCAACAGACTGTGACCCCTCCTTACAGCCGTATATTTTTGCACAGAAACCCGTCTTCAGTTTTACGATTACCTGATTTTTTCTTCGACCGTTTTATTTTTGTTCGTTGCATCATTCATCATTTGCATTATGCACCCTTGTTTTGTCCAAACTAACATCATGTAGCATTTAAAAGTGTTTGAAAAATCTCCTTGTGACAACGACTGATAAATCTCGCTGATATGCGTTTTAAGATGAATTTGACTTTAACCTCATACATCGTCTCAAAATCTATTTTAGGGCATCATTGCCGCCTATGAGTGAAGATATGGGATTCTTTTCCTGTGCACTTGGCATCAGATCGCGGTAAAGAATGCACTGCAAGTACCACGGATGCTATTTGCCACGTTTTATTTTGCTACACCCGGTCGATAATAATTTTTTGGGTGTACATATGTGCTGTGTATGGGATAAATAAACGACATTTAGCGAAAAAATTTAGATGATGTGCACGAAATAACCTGCGTGCGAAACGAATTTTAGCCATTAAGACGTGGCTGTGAAAAGATGCTGGCTATTCTGTATAGCTGCTCTTAGAAATTTTCAATAATACAGAACAGGTTTTGCATTTCACGCTAAAAAATTTGCAACAAATAATCAGGTAGTCCTATCGCTTTTTGTAGCAGCATAGCACAATTTTTCTATCATTATCCCTTTTCCTTCTTCTTTTCCACGGAAGAACTAAAACCACAGTATGAAGTGTAAATGGAATGTTGAAAAACGCTATCTGCTGTTAGCATGACAAGGGTCTGTTCTGTCTTTTATCTTGCTGCAGAACTGGCGAATTGTATTCGATTCTACGACCAAAGTATGGATTACCTAAAAAACACAGGAAAAATTCAGCATAAAAAGACAATAGCTTTTATACCAACAGATATATTAAAATAAACATGGCTCAAAAATTTGCATCCCAAATGCTTTACAATGTACTATTTAATCCATTTTGATGCTCCAGTGTGCAAACTTTCCTATTCTGAACCCTCATAAACAAAATTAATTACGCAGTTCATAGCCCCTCCTCGCACGAGCTCATTCTCACTGAAAAATTCTGGATCAAACAACCCTTACTCGCTGAATCTCATCACAAGTATTTTACCATTATCGTTTTAAAAGTTTCACACCCATCGCCAACCTGATGCAACTATGTTATAAACTTAAAATTAGCTTAAATGATTAAGGAGCATGAGTTTGATTTCGCATTTTGAAACAAATACGGTGCCAATAATCTTTCTTCCCTGACAAAAATAAAAGAACTTATCTACAATGTCTTGTTAACTCCTATTCTTCGTGAACATATTTAACTTATCTACAATGTCTTGTTAACTCCTATTCTTCGTGAACATATTTAACTTATCTACAATTTCTTGTTAACTCCTATTCTTCGTGAACATATTTAACTTATCTACAATTTCTTGTTAACTCCTACTTCGTGAACATATTTACATGCTAGTGCACTATGTTCATTACCAAAAAGTAACAAAGTTTAATCGCCCATTAATTGATATTTTCATTCTTTAATATGTCATGCTAGATTTTTCAGCTACTCTCAATTTTCTTAGATTTACTGATAGGTGTCGAAAGGAGTTCATGCGCGATAATCATACAGTTTTCGTGCATTCTGTGAAAATTACTGAGCAAATCTTGTAGAAAACGGATTAAATAATAATCTCCAACTCTCTGTTTTATGCGAAGATGTAGTGAATGAATTTTTGATTTGTTTCGAACTGATCAATCATATTTCGAGTTGTCTTTTTATTCATATGACCTTATTTATACTGATGACATGAGGGATCTGATGTGTTAATGATAAATGGAGGATTTAGTCAATGTTTTTAGAGTAAAGCTTTTTAACTGCAAAAAAATAGAAGGAGGGTCAAAATTTTGCAGCTTTGAAATTGACTTTGAATAACGATAAATTGAGCTTAGTATTTATTAGGCTTCAAGAAATCGACTTTAGTTCACTAAATTTGATATCATAGCATCAAGTATATCGGCGATACCCATCTACCCATTCACATGTAAAATCTACAAATTTAGTCGTATTGCGGTTTTAGGTGCATTTATGTAAAAACAGCAACAACTGTCACACAAGTTATTTATCTTGTGCTTGTTGGCAATATTCAGATGTTAGTTTGATCATTGGTGTGTTTTATATCAGATGATGAGATAAAGTTATCTCAAGCCGTAAGATGCTATAATGTTCTATAAGAAGCTACACAATAGAATTCTTTACCAGAATGTGTTTGTATGCTATCTCTTTTCGCGCATTTCAACATCTACGAACAAACAGGCAATATATCGCTGTTCAACGACACCACTCGAAGAACTAACTCTTAGTTTCTAGATTCATAGCCGTGTTTGTTGTGAGTTCTTATCTCACAATCTTGGTAATTCGTCTGCCTTTCTTCAGAGTAATAACATCAAAGCTAGCGAATGCTTTCAAACCGCCACACAAACACACATTTGCCAAATAATCAGCTACGTCACTACACTTGAACTACACGATAATACATTGCTACCATTGGTTTCAGAATTCATATCCAACCAGCACACCACATTATTGTAGTCCGCTTTCGCTTCTATGTTGGTCCCAACGGTAGACAAAATTTTCAGTAGCAAATTTTCCATTTGTGCAACGTATCCATACGAAAATTTTCTTTCTGTTGGCGCTGAAACTGGTGGATAATTTATAGCATAGTAGTTTACAATTCTTGCAGATGCACCATTTTCTTACTCTTATGCCAAATCAAACAACATGCATGATCTGAAATACAATGTATAAACATCCAGAAATGCTTCTTGTTACATTAAAGACCCATCAATGTCGAAGGCAAAATTACAGAACATATGCTTTGGGCCCGAGCTCACTTTGGCACGACTCTAAAAAAACGGGGTTTATAACCACGCACGATTCGCTCACTCACATGAACCAAACAAACCGGTTTAAACCAGCAAAATAGTGATTTATTAATTCTACGGCTGAAAGCGATGATTGAATGGCTCGTAATTCATACTATAACCATCTACCACATGTGATAAAAACTCGTCATATGTTTGCTAGTCTACACTTTTGATGTGTGCTCAGGTATCGACTCGGGCATTACGTGTCTTTTCTGTAAACTAGATACATGTGCACGGATACGTGTGTTTAATTTACTTACACATGTGTACAGTCTCTAAATTGGAATGAGCTGCAGTGCAATAGCATGTTAGAAAAAATGTTCACATAAACGAGAAACGCTTTCTACACAGACAGCACATTGTGCGTACGATCCACAGTCGCGGTCCATCGCTATATAATTTACCATTTTCCGCCATATTCATGTACAAAAAAGTCGTCTTAAGCACAAGCAAAGAACAAACAATTTCGGTGAGAATAGAAATCGCTGAAACAACAGCGTCACCCAAGTACAAACTACTCAGGCCTAAACATACTCGATGCTTCTATAAGATCTTCTTTTCTAACTTTAACACAATTTTTTGCATACGTCCTATCAGTAAAAATAATGCTAGTGTACAAAATATATTCGGCATTGCTAGTATTCAGCGCACTTGACGGGTGTACACAAACTTCTTCGTCATTCCAGAACGTTCTAAACGAGGCTCCTGTTTTTCTGGCTGTATTCAAAAAATATCCAGCACAAAATGACTTGATTATCCGCAATCGTCTGCTGGAGTGATCGATTTGAAAGCGCTTGACTTCATGACCGCGAAAAAGGCTACACAACTGCTGAACTATATGCTTGGTTTCTGAAACTACTTTAAAATTAATCTTGTTCTTGATTGCATATTTCTCTCCCCGTTTTATGGCGTTTTGATAGACATTCATGAGGAAGAAGAAATCACCCATCGTGTCTCCGTATGTCTTCTTAACTTCCTCGTACTCATCGATATTGGAGTGGTTGAACAGATTTCGTACCGACAAAAGCGCACAAATGGTTGCGACCTCGACAAAAACCTCAAGTTGAAAGGCTTTCAAAAGTGAGATCGCCAATTCGGGTTCGAGAGGTAATCGTGCAACTTCACGACCAAGCTCGGTCAATGATCCTCTATCATCCAATGCTCCAAGCCGATAAAGCCTCTCAAGTGGGTCGATAAAGTTCTCCAAGGGGGGTCTTTCGAGAAACCTGCATCTCTGTATATGCTGTATCCCCAGACTCTTCGTGACTAGTATCAAATTGCCAAGATTTGCGTTCATGATTTCAGCCGTACCTTCATGATGGAAGGCACTGAACTCGCTCTGTGTATACATTCGGTACACAACACCTCTCTTTGTCCTCCCAACACGACCGCTGCGCTGGTCAGCCTGTTCCTTAGAAATTCTTATCATTTCTAGCCTCTCGATTCCACTTTCCATCCGTTTTTGTTTCACAAAACCGCTATCAATAACCACGTCCAGGTCCTCAATAGTTATACTTGTTTCCGCAATATTCGTAGATAGAATAATTTTCGACTCGTCATACTTTTTAAATATCTTTTGTTGGTTCTGAAACGACACGGCACTGTGCGATTTGAGCACTACGGTTGTTTCAAAACTCTGGCTTTTGATTAAATTGAAACATCTGTCGATGTCCTGCATTCCACTCAGAAACACTAGGATGTTGATGCTGCTCCGTGCATTTGATAGTACTATCTTCAGCTGCTCAACTATCTTTCGCACGAAATCATAACAGGGAAAAGGCAGATAATGTATATCGTTGCTAAACCTTTTTTGTTCGATGATGATATTGGCACATTTAAAAAAGTTTATGAATTTGTAACTGTTCACCGTCGCGCTCATAAGAATCAGTCGGCTATACTGATATTTGTTCATCACAGCAAAGAATATGTCTGTGTTAAGTTTTCTCTCGTGCACCTCATCGATAATTATTAAGTCGTATGCTTCGCGTTCCTGTAACAGCACGCCGTCGGTAACAAACTTAAGCCGTGTCTTGCTCGACGATTTTTCATCGAACCGGACTTTGTAACCAACCGTACACCCCACACTTTCGTTAATCTCAAGACTCACTCTCCTTGCCAAATTGGATGCTGCTATGCGCCGAGGTTGACTAACTATGATCCTGTCGAAGTAGTTCAAAAGAAATTTGGGTATTTGCGTGGATTTCCCGCAGCCAGTGCCACCCTCTATTAGGATTACTTTGTTGTTCACTAGCGCCTCCGTAATTGCTTTTTCGTACGCGAACACCGGAAGATCAGCATTCATCCGGTATACGAGCGGCTTGTTAATGTTTATGTCTCGTGTGTTGCAAGTACTCGGTGCTATCGGATGATTATTAATCCGTTCATTGTCCTTAAAATCTTTTAGAAAGCGTGGCTCATCACGCCTTATGAACAGATTTCTGGGTTCGGATTCACTGTACGCAATACTCATTAGCTTCACAAAATCGGCCCTCTCGAGCAGTGGCTCAATTTCAAAGAGCCTCTTGTGTCTGATCAGAAATAGCATATACTCTACCACCTCTTGATCATTTATGTTTAGGTTGTCTTTTATGAAACTGCAAATTTTCTCATCATCCATATTCCAATCACAGGGGCTATACAATTATTCTGTTGTAAACGTGGAATGTAGCACCGATCACAAACTGTGCCTGCCTTTGCCAGAAAATCGCTACGTGCGTATTCTTTCATGTTTTAAGCATAGTAACGGGAACGTTTACTCGTATATTAAATGTCGGATGTGCAGTTTTACACCATTTACTGTTTGCAAAAGAAACATTTGAGCCGGTGAACAGAGTCAATTGGCAAACAGTTCTGTTTACCTTTATGAACGTGCTAATATTTTAACTCATATGTATAATTTAAGTCAATAAATCGTTGAATACGTTCAATCAGCAACCACGATCGCATGAAACATATTCTCAGCCAAAGAATTCCGCAAATGTTCTGATAATCCAGTATGCTACCAATATGTTTTTGCCACACAACTGTGGTATATGTTAGGTGTAACCATGGCATTCCGATCAAGGTTGTAATTTTACTCTCAGGCTCAAAATGTTATACTAAACGGTAGATAGATGCTAAATCGCAGAAAGTACGGCACGAAACGTGTACTGGTAACATTTGTTATTGTCAAATAGAATTTACTTACCAAAAAACTTGCATTTTTGTTGCTCACCAGGAGGTGATTATCACTCCAGTCCCTTCCAAAGAGATATAAACCATAGCGTCTGGTACTAGGCAAATACGTGCTGGCATTGCAAAATACAAATAAACAAGTGCTAGTTTTACATACAGCACGGTGAAAAGTGTCGAAGGATATAATTATGAACCATGTTCTGCCGGATCAGTACACGTACACACAAATAATATTAAATCGATTGATCAGTACACACAAATAACAAATCGATTACACGGCCAGGTCACCAAAATACGCTAGAAAACGTTTTGATGTTACGCATCACTAAAAACACAGGTTCAAGAATCATGCAAGTATGGTGAACCGGTCTGCTGTATTTCATGGCGCTTGCAAGGCATCTGTTCCTCAGTACTGACAGCGATGAATAGTGTTAACAACCACATATCACACATATTTTTGATGACCTTGTGGTGCATCTAGTAACTCACAACACCAGCAATTCGCGGAAAAATCTCGCTATTGCTCAACAGCAACTGTCCGTACGCTATTGTGTCATCTGGTAAAACCTCTCATACGTCTTGGAGTAGATGGTACACGAAGGCGAAAAACACTCAAACAAAGCTTAGTTTATTTTCTCAACGAACAACCAACAATCCGTTCCTATACGCTTCCTTCCTTATCATGGATATCTTAGCTCTTACTAAGTTGCGTCGTATTTTTTTCAAAAAATTGAAGAAATTCAAATAAACTGATCGTCTCATACGGTTTCTGCCCTATCCTGTTTTTAAACACGTGCAAACAAATGATTTTTCAGATTTGGTGAAAGTTAATTTGTTAAACCACCAACCGTCTTTCGCATCTGCTCCTTATGACAAAGCAATGACTAAAATGCTGGTAGCCCCTTCTGACGGCATTGAGCAGCAGTCTTATTATAAACTACCCCGTATTGACATAACCACGTTTGGCGTTTCCTTTATCAGCTGGATAAAAAGGAGAGCGAAAAAGGTGAAAATACGTTATAGGAGTGGCCAATATACCATAAGCTCGGAGAAAAGCCTGCACCATTAACAATTTCTGTACACAGCGCAGGAAATCTGATTATGTATGCCACAAGTTTTAAGAGTACCATAACACAGCTGCTGAGATGTTACATCCCTTATCGTCACGGCTGCCGAAGAAAGAACTGCTTTACGATCCGCTCTATAGCGAGAAATAAAGGCAATGCACAGTTGCGTGGTTTCAACGCAACCATAACCCTAACGTAATAATTAGTGACCGAACCTTGGTGCGTGAACAAATGCTTAAATTTGAATAATCACCGAATTATCAACCTAGACAGCGCGCGATAGATTCGTTAACCGCAATTGCACGCGGTGCCTTGAGCACAGAAGCATACCAGGCAAATTCGTTTAATCGTGTTGTGTACCATAAATCAGGGCAAAGCGCAGCAGTTGTTCAGTTCCGTTTGATGTATTGGTACATGCACTCAATGCGATCGTTGCAAATGACTGAGCAAGTGCCCTCGTGGTTACGTGGCCAGCACCTAACACTACAATTAGGTCAATAATTGTACATTAAATGCTGTTCTGCGAGGTTTTAAGTCTCATTACAACCTAGCCCCATCTAAATGTTACATATCACTCACAGCCGGTTCGATCTGAAACCATGCAACCAGATTAATCTCTGAGTAAAGCGTGGTGGCAACAAACCTCGGATTATTCTGCCGAACGGATAATTGCACATGTCGTTCTATGCTCTTAACGTAAAAATTGCAATATTTGCTGCATTTAACATGTACAGATGGTAGTAGTGTTGGCTTCACACCGCGATCGCATATTTCAAAGTTTATAGATTGTTTATCAACAATGTTTTTGGTACACTGTGCCTAAACAGGATTTTCATTGTGTTGCAGTTTCTTGTCTGCATACCAAACATTTCTCATTCCTGTTGTCCTCAGGTAAATGTCCACACCTTCTATGTTCATGTACTTGAACAACACTATCATTTTTTTGTCATACGCAAGGGTCTCCACGCTGTCAATTAGAACCGATCTGTGTATTCGGTGTGCCAAAAATTCACCGAGCTCCTGCCTCAAGCACTCCGAACTAGGACATGCGGCGTGGTCTGCCCTCCTGATTCCATAGGTTTGTATTTTGAATATGTTCTTTGGTACGTCATAAGACCGATCGATCTGATAGATTTTACCGAATTGTTTGCGTCGAAGCCCATCGATCCTATTCATGGGCCTTTGAAAAAAGTTTTTTAAATTTTACCTGAGATCGTGGTAGATCCAGGGGATAGTAGTGATGAGGATAGTTTAAACGATAAGAACATGTGAATAACTGCTGTGGCAGTGTTGACGTCGAAAAGCATGCAAGGATGTTTTGTGAGCCCACCCATTGTCCACAACTATACGGCTATTCTCTTGGTTTATCTTGAACAGCAAGTGAGCAATGTGGTCTAAAGGAAATAATGGGGTATTTACAATGTGTTAATGACTCTTTCTGAATAAAACTTTCTTCTGCCAAAGAAGTGAGGAAAAGGCAAAAACAATTGTTTATTAACGTGTGGCAGTTAAAAAGTAAATGAAAAAAATTATTTTCAAAGCTGCGCATGATGAATTGCGAACTATTCCAAAAACTTTCGTGTGATTACTGGTGTATACTAAAAAATAAAATATTATGCGATACCAGATTCAAGGATTGAAAACTGGCAATACTCAGCGGTACAGCGCATTGACTGATAGATTACTCAGTTGATCGGTGTATATCACCGCACTTGATCGAATTCGACCCTTCTATTAGCGGACAAACTCCATTCAGAAATACGGACTGATACTACAGCCACGACGGTAGATTGGGAGAACGAAAATGAACCTTGTAAATGTGAAACAATTGTTCCGCGGCACACACCGCCCATTCGAACCAATACGAAAATTAAATGCTCATATTGAGACGGGCCTTGAATGGGGAACAATTTCAAGTACTATTTTACCTAAACTATGTAATCAAACGCTCCACCGAAACCCTCCTTAAACTTTTTGAGGCTGCTTCCGTAAAGATACGGTTTCTTTATTTCTTTTTCTTCGTTGTTCCTGTAAAGCTCTTTTAAAATTTCGAGGTCTTCTACCAACTTGATCGGTTTACTGGACCTGAATTTGAAAAATGATCTTTCTTCATTTGTTTCGCAGTGAACATTCGAATCTTTTTCTATTACAACGATCAAAAATGGGAGATAAAATCTATCAAGCGATAAGTTATGCGTTTTGAACGCATTTTTCAGTACGATATGCTCGAAAACCTCTTTCATGTGCTGTAAATCCTCAAGTTGTTTTCTTTTCTCCTCCACGACCATCCTTTTTTCGCATAGAAGATTTCTTCGCACCAAGTTGTAACATCTTTTGGCCTTGACCACCATATTAAGTGATCGCATCACGCTTAACACGTCATACACCCGTCTTCTCAATGTGTTTGTGTTGGAGGTGTTTATACTCGAACAAATTTTTTGGTACGTGACATCTTTGTTGTTTAATAGAAGGCTATGTATCGAAACGCTTATCTGTTTCAAGCCATCTCTTCGGCTCTCTGATCCTAAACACTCGCTAAACAGCTCCTTCATATTGAGGGTCTGGAAAAAGTTCATGTAAAAAACTTGAAGTATGCTTGTGATCTTACGAAATAATAGTTGTAGAAACTACGGTTGGCGATAATCAGTCGAAATTTGCCGTAAAACGCGTGGTATGAGGAGTAACAGGAGTAGTGTACGCTTTATTTATTCTTTTATGCCCGTTACATTTGATGGGATGGACATGGCTTTGATGGGGTGAACATGGCTTTGATGGGATGGACATGGCTTTGATGGGGTGAACATGGCTTTGATGGGGTGGACATGGCTTTGATGGGGTGAACATGGCTTTGATGGGATGGACATGGCTTTGATGGGATGGACATGGCTTTGATGAGGTGAACATGGCTTTGATGGGGTGAACATGGCTTTGATGGGGTGAACATGGCTTTGATGAGGTGAACATGGCTTTGATGGGATGGACATGGCTTTGATGAGGTGAACATGGCTTTGATGGGGTGAACATGGCTTTGATGAGGTGAACATGGCTTTGATGAGGTGAACATGGCTTTGATGGGGTGAACATGGCTTTGATAAGGTGAACATGGCTTTGATGGAGTGAAAAGCACGCTCTTATCGCAGGGTCAAGGAATGTGCGATACCGTACGGAAGCTCTCATAATAATAAAATTACTATGATTATCAATGACTGACCTAGTGTTTGTTATGGAGGCAAGAACAGGGTTTTGAAATGAATTGCTGTAGATGTTGTTCACAAATGCAGATATGGCATGTAGCAGGTTAAATCACACTAAAATAGAAAAAATTATGAAATATTATGCATATTTCTTTTTATGAAACTGTATTGATATAGAGCATATAAATCAAAACATACCAAATACGGATACAGACGCGCAGCATATACCAGGCTTGTCAACCCATAGGTCTTACAACCACATCGTAAGATCGTATTTGAATCACATACGGAGAAAACATCGTTTTCACTGTCGTGTTCCATCTTGGTATTTCTCGATGATGAAAAAAGCCTTCCACAATGAATAAAAAAACGTGCAAAGTATGCTCTTCGACCTGCAATGCGATCCTGTACAAGATATGACAAATTATTAACATAGTTGGATGGAATTTGCCGTGTAAACCCTAGCATGTACACCAGATACAACTAAAATCAGGATATCTCATGATTGTGCCCAGTATTCCCTGCTCGGTGATTTTTTCAATGCTATGAAATGAAGAAGTCCAAACTGCCATGAAACTACATCAGCTCCTGACAACAAAGTAAATACACTATTGCTCAGCTGATACAGTCAATGTTGCTGGTGCACAGGCCCTCACGAGATGATGGAACGTATTTTATTGTTGTTATAGAGATTTGTTAATGTGAAGCCGATTTTGGTTGTTGCGGTTGTGAAGCGATAGTTAGGCTAACTTCCAAAAACGTGTAACCGGTGTTTTGCTAGTCGTAGATTCACTGAACAACTCTGAGACCGGTAGTAAACAAATTTACGCACCATTTTTGGTTGCACTTGACACGACCAGCTGCTGAAAAATTCTTTTCTGGTTTCGTTGACGCTGTTCAAAAAATTTACGCACCATTTTTGGTTGCACAACGGATCGAACCTCGTTACATCAATTTGTATGACAGCACTCGCCTTTTCTTGCTTAGTAAACCATTCTTAAACATTGTTGTTAAACATACTTCAACTCGCCAGGTGCATCACAAATACAGAACATTTTTGTTATGAATACGATTATTTGTCATGACTGCCAGCGCCACCGCTCCTCTTAGAGCAGAAGATGCTATGAGGCCATTCTTTTAGAACGACCAACGACACGCTCAAGTGCAGACACAGACCAAAATATGTTTGTTTGAGCAGTGTGGTGATGAGCAAACATGTTTTTAGTTGAGCAAAGATTGTGTGGACCAATCCAACCGATAATTTGTTGGATAACATTCCCGCCTTTTTGATATTAAATACAAACGGTTTAATTAAAAGTCATTTATCTATCACAAGACACTGATAACAGTAAATTTGGTTCGATTACCTTATAGACCAGGCTGATTGAACGGCAGTATGCACCTGAATGTTTATGGGGCCTGCAATGTCCACACAACGAGTCGGAGCGATTGCCACAAAGGAAGATTAGCACACTATCTATGTGGTAAGATTGGTTTTAGCGCAAATGTACCATGCTACGCCCAGATTAAGCTGAAAATCTGCGTGGTTCGGACTAGTTTTGTTTTTTATCTCCTGTTCGCAACATTTCTAGCTTTGATTGGTATCTGTTATTATCCACATTGTGCTTTAATCTCTTCAATGAACAGTTTTGATGCCCGCAATCTATGCAGTGATCTCCCATCCGTGTCTTTAATTAAAAAATGTGTGGGCGCACCCCTATGAACAGGACAAGCACCACAAAACTTCAGACCTTGGAATCAATCGAAAGAATTTTTAAGAACCCCATCGGGTACAACGATAAGGGACGGCCAAAATATTTTGTCACGTTTCCGTATCCATACATGAACGGAAAGATGCACCTGGGCCATTTGTACTCGTTTTCTAAATCGGAATTTATGGCTCGATATAAATGTATGAAGGGATTCGATGTATTTCTGCCCTTCGCCTTCCATGGGACGGGAATGCCGATTTCAGCGGCTGCTAAGAAGTTATGTGAGGGCGACCAAAGCACCGTACAGCTTTTAAACTCCATTGGGATCAAAGACGTTGAGCCCTTTAAGGATGCCAAATACTGGCTGCATTACTTTCCGCCGCTAGCTACCGACGTAATGACCAAGTTTCAATCGTACATAAATTGGAACCATTCGTTCACCACTACCGATTTAAATCCGTATTACGACTCGTTTGTCAAATGGCAGTTCTGCAGGCTCGAGAAATACATCTCGTATGGTAAGAAGGAAACCATATATTGTACCAAAACCAACCAGCCGTGTCTTGATCACGACCGACGGACAGGGGAGGGTGTCATTCCGGTTCTTGTGAATATGAGAATGGTATCGTTAGGAGATACGTATTTCTGCACCCGTGTTAAAGATAGGACGAATAGTGATGAGACTGCCACGGCACCTCGTGCTAAGACCATCACTGTTGGTAGGATAACACGTTTTTTCAAGGTCGATATCAACGGCAAGAGCTGTATCATTGATCATTGGGCCCTTGAGAACATGCGCTACCAAGAATTTAAACTTGAAGTATCGGGTGAAATAAAAATCGAAGAGATTCCCGGACACAAGAGTTACAAATTTGTATACTTGGACAGGGATCAGCCGCCTGTGATCAACTTTTGTGATCCGGCAGATCCTTCCTTGGCGTATTATGAGCCAGAGAAGGAGGTTCAAGGACGTGCCGGCTCCAAATGTGTGGTAGCATCGGTTAATCAATGGTTTTTGGACTATGACAATGTTCAATGGAAGAAAAAGGTTGCTGAATGCATAGAGGATATGAATTGCCTGTCAGAGACCCGACGAATGCTCCTGGACGCGCTTGGATGGATCGACAAATGGGGGTTCTCGCGCACATTTGGTCTTGGGACATCGTTCAAAGAATATGTCATTGATTCGCTGAGCGATAGCACGATTTACATGGCCTTTTATTTGGCCAAGCCAGAGCTCTTTTCGGATTTGTACGGATTGGAACGCAAAATAGAGCCAGAGTGCCTGACGAATGCGGCATGGGACTATATTTTCAATTTCAGCGATGTAAATCCGTGCGATGATGAGAAGGAGCTGGTGCTAGAACGAGCACGGAATGCATTTGTCAGATACTACCCCGTTGACTTGCGGGTAAGCGGCAAGGATCTTATCAAGAATCATCTTCTTTTTTACATCTTCCACCACGTGGCCATATTTCCAAGAAATTGTTGGCCGAAGAGAATCTTTACGAATGGTCACCTGCTTCTAAACAACGCAAAAATGAGCAAGAGCGAGGGAAACTTTCTGACAGCTGAGGATTCGATCAAGTTATTTGGTGCGAACGTGACAAGGATTGTGCTTGCGGATGCTGGCGACTTTAATGAAGATGCTAATTTTAGCCAGGCACTTGCAGACACGTACATCCTCAAAATATACACGTTTGTGAAGTATGTTGAGAGTTTTATCAAGGAAGTGATCCACACATTGCCAGACAAGGAGGATTATCGGACGGCGGTTGAACAGAAAGTTACCAGTTTCGCTGACAGGTATGAGCGGTATAAATCCAATTCGTGCAGCAAGACGCCCGGCATATCATTTGCGGACGAGCTTCTTAAGGATGGCGTTGACTTTCTTGTGGATAAATGTGATCAATCGTATGAGAGCATGACGTATCGAGACGCGATCAAGTACGGTTTTCATGAATTTAAGACACTGATGGAGCTGTGCATGTCGCTCAACTGCTCAAGCGAAGCCATGTTATACGCGATAAAAAATAATCTGCTGGTCATGTACCCTGTTATCACGTCAATCTGCGATTATCTTCTCGAAAAATATTTCAAGAAAGTGCTGGTATGGCCGGTCTCAATCGTGAGAAAGGACAATGTTTATCTCGGATTGGAGTGGTTTAGAAAATTTAGCAAGAATCTTGCGAGCAAGGCTGCCAGAATGCAGAAGAAGAACGTAAGAATTTACGTGGGCACGGTTGTGCCGGAATGGAAAACGCTGGTGCAAGACATTGATCCTGATGATATAGTGGCTTTGAGAAAGTTTTTCGCCAAGTTTGAGATCAATCCCAAGAAGGGGATGAGTTTTGTGAAGGACCATGTCAAGTACAACTTTGATGAGCATCGGCTTCTTTCTGGTCTTAAGACCAGCTTGGAGAAAAAATTAGGGGTTAATATTGAAATACTGACCTGTGTGGATGGCAAGGGTGAGCCATACGAACCGGCTATCGAGTTCTATTAAAAAGAATTTTTGTTGCGTAATTTGTTTTCTTCTATTTTTTGCAGGCCGCCCGCCGTAACAAACAGATTCTTACACCTTGGTTCTCGTGCCAGGGAGGTTGCTGCGCAATGCACATCCGTTCAAATCAATATTTCGCAGATCATTAGGCATACCACTGCCTGTTTAGCAGGCGCTTTCTGTGACTAATCTCGGGCACAATGTGCAACTATCATAAAATGTGCGCGCTCATTCCAAGAAAATACGTTTAAACAATTGTCAAAAAAAGTGGCGCGTATCACCATAAACCACGGATCAGTGGCCACAGTCGCTCTCATCGAATCATAAACGCGTGTTATTGTGAGAGGAGAAAGATGAATTACTCTTAGGTGAAAGTATGGTGCTCATCATGCCATAATTCTTTACCTAGAACGTCAAAGCCTTCGCAGCAAATCTTCCAGAATGAACTGTCATATGATGGAAAAATTACCGAACAGCAGTGGTGTACACAGGAAAATGTGTCTGTTTAGATTGTGCTTGACATACGAGTAACAAATGAACATGGTCTCGTTGCAAATATGAACATAATCACAGGTAAAAATATTTACTAGGTACACAAGGCTAAGTCTTAAATCGGTTTTTCAAATGTCTTTAGCATAGGTATGTCACATCTAGACGGGTATCGCAAGAATACCAGGATTGTTCGAATGCACTTCTTACGTTGTTCCCGTCCTGGTTACCAAAACAAACCTTGATTCTAAGGATTATACATCGTTCTAATGTTGCAATCTTGATCAACAGAACATTTTTAATATGGCATTGACAGTCCGTTAGCATTTGAGTGTCGTATTCTAACCATCCATTGTGGTTGCAAATGTTAGTAATTACTTCGTTAATTGTTTGTGCACCGATGTGGTAGCGCTCATCAAGTTTTTATGCTCATATAGCACACTTCATCCCATAATTCGAACCAGATGTTAACAACAGATGCTTATTTATCGGCTGGTGACGGAGAGGATGCTTTATTAAGGAACATATTTTTTTACCAGGATACAACATTTCTTTCGAACGTATAAAGGAAAACAATTCGCTCTCGACAAACATGTCGATGATCCGGTGATATAAACAGGTAAGACGAGCCGGCATATCCCATTTACGCACGAATCGAAAATTCGAATCTTTGTCAAATCGACTTTCTTTTTCCTCAGATGGGTACATAATTGACACAAATAATACGCAGTAAGAGGAACAATAGTTGTAATTGAAATTAAACGGTAGTTTTGAGAGGAAATAAATTACAACGGGTGTTTTGACCGAATATTATTCCATTTTACAGCTGAAAAATAACCAGTTCTAAGTACCAGGCCTCGTGTTATAAAGCACATACTGTACGTGCTGCAGCGCTCAGCTCAAAGAAACATGATATGTTTGCACAATGCTGATCATTTAGTTCTCGCCGATATGCTCTAATCTTGTGTTTGCGTGTGTGAACGTTTGCTTCCTTCAGATTGAAGTTGAACGATTCTGTTGGATAAAGTATTCCGCAGAAAGTGTGTTGAAATGGTGGAAAAATGTGTTGTTCCTGTTGCATATGTGCTAGAGCGTTGTACTAGTATCTAAACACCTATGGCATACGTATGTGGTTAAATCCTTATTTTTTATAGATTACTTTGTTCAGAGCCAATTGTAATCCTCCTTGATGCACAAGTGCTATTCATAAAAATCTTGCGAATAATTTCTGATATTCAAAAAATAACTTAAAAACGATTATACCACCATCTCGGGGCCAAGTTGCTTGTTGACCGTTCTCAGCCGTTGTATGGCCACCATCAGCAAAACGACATATTAAAAAAAAATATTTTACCCCTGCACAAATGGATGACTGTTACTACTACCTGTACTCGGCGTGCACAAAGAAAAATTGCACATATAGGCACTCGGCAGCTGCAAAGAAGAACTTGATTATGTGCAAGTTGTGGGCAAATAAAAAACAGTGCCGCAACGAATGTCCGCTCCGACACAGCGATTATCATCTCAGAAAGGATCGGAAGGACATTCATTGCTACTGGGAGGACATGGAGGGGGGCTGTCAGAAAGAGTTCTGTGATTTTAAACACCGTAACCCGGAAAAAGATGAGTGGAAGATGGTAAAAATTAGGACATTGGATGAAATAAAAAGAAAGCAAAGCGAGGCGCACAATTTTCACGATGTTTATGCGCAGCGCCACCATTCACCGGATGAGGCGTTTACCACGGGCATCTCCGGCTCGCAGCTGTCTGAAGGAGAAATCCAGCAGATGAACAATATAGGTGCACATTATACCTTTAAAATGGACGACCCATCAGATGATAAAGTGTCACGGAAAGTGTTTTTGCCCAAGGACATTAAGATAGGCGGTAAAGCTGCACAGACAGAGCATGTGAATAGCAAACAGGACAACCCTCCCTTGCAGCTCGACAATAAAGAGTTTACATCTGCAGACATAGAAAAAGAGCTGGAAATGATAGACAAGGCCCTGGAAGAGGAGGGACTGGATATGCGGAAGCTATACGAAAAGTAAATTTGTTTTAGAAAATGAATTTTTGCGTCCACATGTACATAAATAGCGAATAGGAATTAAATTGATTTGATATTACAGCGTTTTTCATCTTTTAGCATCTAAAAGATCATGGCGGTGACCGTGATTTTTTCTCCTTATCACGTCAAATACGCCCATCAATAATATACAGCTCCATACTAATATTCATCCAGTTGAGCGTACGATAATGCATCATTTGGCACATGACATGATTTGCTGGTATGTTACACGTATTTAGTGCTGGAGTAGATGATCTTTCTCCGATTGCCCACCAAAAAATTAATTCCACCCAAAAACGGTATTCATGAGCAGAATGTCAAATCAATTTCAAAATACGGTTTTTCCTTTGAGGTTTTAATATGCGATCACAATTAATTTTGTGTTTTACAGCTGAACGGTCGCGGTATGTTTTTATCAACATTAATAATTTATTTGCATTTTTGATATTCTTTCTGCTCAATGTGACGTTTGAATGATACGTATTCAGATCTTCCATTTTATGAGTGATAAATTTGATTTTACCGGTTTAAAGATGCAATCACAATGCTGCGGTTGAACTTATTACAGTGTTGCTGTGTCTGAAGAGCTTCGTCTCTGAGCCACGGGTACCAATTCGTGCTTTGTATCTGAACCCGTGTGGCTTGAGGTCCGAATACAATTCGTGGGTGCAGACTCGTTTTTCGTATCTGACCAATAATGGCACTGATTTTGTAATTCGTACTTGGTCCGTTTTCCGTAGCTATTTCAACCGCCATGTCCGTTTTTGTACCTTGCCATTACAGGTCGTTTCCGTATTTTTCTGCAGTAAATCATCATTGCACGCATCTCTGGCAACATATCCATACAATACGCTTATAACTTATTCCACCTATCTCCAGTATAAATTTTTCTTTTCATTTGCAGATTAATGGATCAATCAAGCAAAAACTATCCTAAATACGATCTTTTGCATCAGATATTATTGGGCGTACTGTTCGAATCGGCATGTGTCAGCCGGTGATTCATGAAATACAAACCGGTTTGTGCTGCAAAATTGTTCTTTGTTTCAAAACCGCAATTTTAATTTGTTTATTGACGCGATCAGCATATCAAAACATTTTCGTTTGACATTCATGCATAATAAAGGAGAGGAAATAAATAATCAAGGAATGGGATACCCTTGTATGGACAACGAAGAAGGAAAGAGCAAGCAGAGTACTAGGGAAATGAGGGTTCAGGGTGCAGTAAAGGAAGGTAACGGAGACGGGAGCTGCAGCTCGGTCACATTTGTGAACAGGTCAGCACTGTCAGGAAGCGTAGAGAATGACATGCACAAGAAGGTTATACAGGGAGGAAAAGAAATTTCGGATGAGCTTGGAGACGTGCTAGAAGTGCTGATTCGCTACTTAGGCGCGCAGCCCAAGAGAAAAAGCATCGACTGTTTCCTGTGCACCGACAAGGAGAAAGTGCTTGAGCATCCAAAAGAAATACATACGTTGTTCAAGTTGTATTCTGCACTCGTGTTCTGTATGCTGGAGCACTGTGCCTGTGTGAAGTACAGTGAGAAGCTTGTTGAGGACATGTTCAACCTTGAAAACTACCTTTTGGACCAGATTGCAGTCAAAGAGCTTGAATTCATGGACGCGTACAGAGACGAGGCCATGGATCATCGAAGAGAGCAGTTGATAGCAATGGGGAACGTATTCAAGATCGATGATGCCCTGCACATCAACAGGGAAGAGGAAATTGAGTCACTCACGTACAAGTTCTACAGAAAGGTGGGTGATGCCCGATTCCTTAGCGACGCAGAGATCAATCTTATCTGTTTGATCCTGTACAAGCGCAAAGAATCGTTCAGGTTCTTTAGAATATTCAAGGAGAGGAAGCTGCTTATCAATTACAGGCTGGCGGTGCTTTTCTCGCTGCGTAGTGAGTGCATGTACAAGCCAACCGAAATAATCAGTCAGAACAAAAGCAGAAAGTTTGAGTATGAAGACATTGGCACGTACAAACTCAAAAGTCTGTTCATAAGAGGCGGAGTGACAAACCCAGAGAATTTCTTTGAGCATATGAAATACAAGTTAGGCCTTGATCGGGTGCATGAAGTTGACCAGGAGATTGAATATGAGAAGGAGCTCAAGACCTTTGAGGGCATTGTCGTGACGAAGAGAGCGGATGTTAATTCCAGAGAATTTAAAAAGTGGTTCAACAGAGAGAACAGGAAGCACCAATGGATGGAATGTGTCAAAATGTGGGTGGCGAACAGGAGAATGGACAAAAACGTTGTGGATCTGTCCATGATCGACATGTGTTGTCAGTACAAGGAGTTTGAGAACGGACACTTTATCTACGAAATGCTGGAGCCAATTACAAATGAGAAAGTCTTGAAGGATTGCTTTGTTAAGTACTGTCTGCTGTGCATACATGCGCTCAAGGAGGGCAACAAAAAATTTAATGATACGATCGTTTCCAACCTGGACGAGACGTTCGCGAAGATGATCTGCAGTGGTAGTTCCCAGGGATCTGGTAGGAGCGCCAACAGGACGATAAAGAGCGAAACGATGGAGAGCTACTATGATTTGAAGAGGTGTGCATCCAAAAAAGGCGAGCAGAGCTTGCATGTTGACGATGTGAGCGCCTTGTCGGTCAAGAAAGGAGATACTGTGGAGTATGGCACTGCAATGGGAGGCCTTTCCGATTTCAAAACGGAAATCTGTATCGATGTTGAGGAGGTGAATAGCGCGCTTCACCAGGAATGTGGGGCACTAAGCAACAGAGGAGATGGAAGCAGAGGGGAGAGTGTCGTTGACACGTCCATCACGAGCAGGAGCAGCACGGAAAGCACGCGATCGTCTTTGGTCATTGATGTGGACTTCATAAGAAAATGGACAGATCGGTTGGTTCTCCTGATAAAGAAGGCAAGGCGGTTGGACCGAGAGAGCAGTGTGTCATGGGATATAAACCGTTCAATGACCGAGATGACCATCAACAACATCCTCTACTTCGAGAAAACGTGCCGAAAAGAGGTACTTGAGGTTTTACTGTGCGATATTTGCATAAATGATGAGATGGTGCAGCTGCTCCTCAAGGGATTCTACTGCTACTGCCTGTCGTGCAAGGAATCGAGTGTTAAGACGATCTCTGACTGTGATATGGTGTACAAATTTGCAGAGCACATTTACAAATGCTGGAAGAAGAAGAAATCGGGTCTTAGTCTATTCCGGCGCAAGGACCCACACACCAAACAAACAATTTATTGCTGCATGCTCGGTGTGTGCTGCGAGACCGAGAAGGTTGACCAGTTTATGGATGTATGCAAGGATCTCAAGGGCTCGTCAACCGAGCTTAATGGTGAGATGATCAATATTTTAAAAAAGTTCCACGACTATAAAAAATGCAACTGCGACTTTTTCAGGAATAACCCGAATAGGCACTACAAAAAGCACTTGATCAACCATATTTTTAAAAAGGAGTGAGGCAGTGCCATTTTTGTGAGAGAGTAGTGTTTCAAGGATGGAGCATAGCAGGAAGAGCAACCTATGGCTACTATGAGTGAATCGAGAAGAAATTTCCGAACACAAGCATGACCATCAGATATGCATCGCGCAGGAGCTGCCAAAAATTATGCAGGCAGGATGTGGACATTGATGAAGAGAGGATTAGACATTGTCTAAGCATCTACGAGCAAACAGATCGATGTAAGACCAGCCTCGTTTCTCTAAGTAAAGGGCTATGTTAATGGTTTTGGTGTTTGAAACGAGCAACGCGATGAACGAAGACCGGACGAGTGGTTCTCTTACTAGTTGTTGCCGTGGGGGGCTGCATGGATAGCATGAGAACGATCCGGAGTTTTGGTAAATCACGTGTATTGAACTGTTCAAATCTACTTATTTACTATTAAAGTGCAGTTGTGGTAAATTGGCCCCGAAATGGTTTATTTATGGCAGTGTACTCGGTAAGTTGTTTTTACATCGATCAAAATTGCCATTCACGCATTTCTTGCCCTACCATGACACCAAGCATATTTTCGCTCTGGGCAAGTGCGCGTAAGTTGCTTTTTGTAGAACAGGCAATGAACCGGTGGAAGTTGTTCTAAATTTAGCGTTCAATGTGCCGAGTGCTTCTTTTTTATTTCATGTCGATTTAAATTAAAATTTAATATGTTGTTCTCGAGAGGGTTTCAAGAACTAAAAGCTGGGAATGCATTTTATACAGTGTAGTACAAGTTTGTTAGTAAGTTTGCTGATGGTTTCACAGACAGATCGAAACGGGAGAAGCTGATTTGCGGAAGAAGATGAGTTAAGGAATTTAGAAAAAAAATTGGGTCGACCTAAAAAGGTGGATCGTGGCATGTTGTCGTACCTAGTACGATTTAAACATTCGGTTGCGGACACTACAATTTGCACTTCCCTGCAGCAGATAAGAAAACATGCACGGAAGATGTGATGCCTGTAGCTGTGGATATTACAGAGACACAGCCTAGGAAGGACAGCACATCGATTGCACAGCCATGCAGATGGTGAAGCTACGGACGCATGTCTTCCTCAAGTGAAGGGACAGCTAAACAACGACTGGCCAGTTATTCGAGTGTTAGAATACCATCTGGACATCATATTGTCTACATGTGTCCCTCAAAGAAGCGATTTCGGTCACGCATCGATAGGAATGCGATAAGCAATTTTTGACGTGTGAATTTAGTCAATTCATCCTTGTCGTCCTAAAAAATTGTTGCTGCTAATCCTGCAATTGATGGGCTGCGCTAATCAAAAGACGTATCGGTGCATTTATGTACGCTTACCGCACGGTTGGATACTGCGCATTCGCCCAATATACGGGAGAACACTCATCAGATGAGAAAGAAAACCGCATGGTATCTCCTCTGGAAGTGCCAAAGATGGACCGAATATAGAATAAGTTTCCTTGACTGGATGTTAGGTTGCTAAAAATTGCATTTATCACCAGATCCAGAGGAGATGACAACTCTGGGATGTTTCTGGAAGGGAATGTCACGCAAATCACAGCTTGCGTTTCATGATCACTGCTGCGATTACAGCATATCTTTCTGTTGTGATGAGGATGCGTGCAAGTTGGCGCACTTATTCCCTTCATGAACCAAGTGGCCACAATCAGTCTTAGCGGACCAAAAAAGTGTGCTGTACTATGAGAAGATGGAAGAACGATTATCAAACACAAAATCATGCGTTATCTTTTGCGCTGCTGTACGATTTCCTGTTGAATATTATATCAAGGCACTTCCATGATGCACATGCTAAACGACGGGTGTGCAGCGCTATAGAACGTAAGGTGCAAGCGTAATAGCAGGTAAATTCAGTTCACAGAGAGTAGCACTACGAACGTGAAAAGAGTTGCACGATTTTCTAGTGGTTCTATTCTTGTTTGGTGGTACGGTTATTTTCTGTCTTTGTCCGATGCATGGAAATAGTATATTTAATATATTAATTTACTTTAAAAACAAATATTTCTACCACCAATCCCATGGTGTATAAACGTGAACGAGCAGCAGTGACGGCGTAATGTGGACAAATGCCTGCTACACCCTCTGGTTCAGAAGCACTGGCCCAACATGTCTGCGTAACAAATCAACGGGTGGTACAAAAATGAGAAATGCGGTGCTCTATACAAAAATGCTAGGATTTATTACAAACTATTCTAAAGCTTAGCTAGGTATTTCTGAGCGATATACTCCCGTTGAACAGGCTATCATCCTCTTTCTGATAGTAATTCATTTCCACCGGCTCTTCCTCGTGTAGAAACTTAAATTTTTTGGTATTCTCCTGTTTTTCGTACACATTACACACCAATTTCACACCATCATCTTCTTTTTCATCAATTTCTGCGTCCGAGATCCTTTCCAGAACCCAGAATCCACCCTTTCCCGGCATATTCTGTGGTCTTTGGACCTTCCTGAAGTTCTTGTTCAGAGACAAGTTGTGTCGGATCGAATTCTGCCAGACTGGATCAGCATACCGGTAATACGCGTACCTGTCCTTGATATAAGCGTATATCTGGCTCAGTGTGAGCTTCTTTTCGTCTGTGCTCTCAAGAGCCTGTGTGATCAGCTGCGAATAGGAGTATGCCGGTTTGTTGCAGCTGTTCGAGTACCATAGAGGAGCACTATTGCTGTCGTTCTCGTCCAGTATTATTCGTGGATCTATGCACACTTTCTCATTGTCATCGTTTTTCCTGTCGAACACGTCCATCAACACATACTGGTACGTGCTACTCGTTCTGTTGGCGTATTCTTCGTTCATTTTGTGTTCGAACGCAAGAAGTTTTTTCATAAAACCGCTTCTATAGCCTTCTCTATCAGGTGAACAGCTCATCATACAAAATTCTTGTTATGGTTTATATACTTTTTGATTAAATTTAATCTTACTAAATTAAGAATATTGCATGATAGAACAGTAATTGGATGAATAGTTGCTTCTATCCAAGGATGGAGCAAGACACGCGAATTGTTACCATTTTTATTTCTGGCCGTGCGCATCAACACGCAACAGTGTGCGTAATAAATATATTCTGATCTATAATGACAAATTTAATTAAATTTTTATTAAAAAATTTTATAAAATGACAATGATCACGGGATAAAGGCTATTTATGGCAATAATTATGTAAAATAACATAGCACTGCATTTTTACTCTTCACGGCTGGCATATCCTGCAATTTATCCCCTACCTTATCAGCACTCATTCTGAATTCGGATATGATTGAGGAGTATGAAGTATTTGGCGTAGTAAATGAGATTGAGGAGTATGAAGTATTTGGTGTAGTAAATGAGATTGAGGAGTATGAAGTATTTGGCGTAGTAAATGAGATTGAGGAGTATGAAATATTTGGTGTATTTTATAGCCGGAGAGAATGAGCACACTCTGCTGCCGTGTGTATGTTATGGGGTATACGCGGAGAAGCATCTTTTCTGCCAAGCGTGTGGTTACGCGTAAGTATTTATATCTTTAACAATGATTACGTGAGCATTCTCACAGGATGTAACATTCGTGTTTATACGGTGCTCCGTAGTTCCGATTCTCTTCCATTTATCACCGATGTGCAGCACTTGTTATTAAGAAATGTCATCGTGCACCATCCACAATTAATTTGTAAATGTGGTGATTATCAGTAATTTACGACACGCCAGTTTAATTACGCTTTAAAACCGCAGAAGAGAGAACTACATGATTTACGGAATGTCGATGTTTTGTGTGCTAAAATCGTACCGAATACGATGCACGAAGGAGACTGCCCATAGCATGGTAAATGATTATCAATAATATAACTGATAATGTGCTCTACATCTAAATTGGTAATGATTAACAACGTGTTTTAACGATTAAATAGAAAAAATGATCGGCTCTGCAACATTTTAGGATTTGAGTGGTGTCACATAGCATGTGAACTGCGGTGCTGCAGATGGAGTGGTGAGTAAATTTATTGCTGTACACATTGGTGTTGACTCTCCTCACCTTCCTTAAATATTCTCGTAGCTGACCCTAAATTTTATATTTGACATAATATCATTTCTTTAAAACTGCTATTTAATTGTGATCAAGCACTAATTATGTTAATGGTGTGCCATTTAAAATTTTTAATCACAAAAAAATGCTTTATTGATGCGTATTGCAAAAGACTGGGATTGTGGTGATAATGGTAAACCAAGTATAGGTCAAGCGCTCTAAACGTATCATGTACGTTGTTTTATGAACTACTCATCCAGAAAAATACAACCAAAAGCTGAAACAATACCAACGGTGCGCTATAAGGGATGTTCTACACATTTGATGAATATTTGAGCAAAATTAAAAATGAAATTAGAGCTGTTCTGCTGTTGTTACGTTTTGATAGTTAATTTTTAGCCTTGTGCCGATGCTTGAAAAGGTTATGCCGATCGCCATGCACATTCAATTGGCCTTGTGCCGATGCTCTTATCACCATGTCTATCGTTTATACCAATTTGTGTTGACCAGCACAGATCAGAATTAGTGATTCAAAACATCTCGTGACAGGATTAAGAACAAGTATCAACTGTGCAGCGATAAGTACCGGTGTAGTGCTGTGTATAGAATATTATCTCGCGGTTGATAAGTTTGTTCACTGAGGTATTAATTATCGTAGAAGATGCTCTAACCTTTTGTCTCACGATATAGCACATATAACGCAATCAGTAGCGCAGCATTACCCATAAATCTTTCATATACATCATTTTTATTGATTATTTATCAAACCAGTGATATATCAAATCTTAGTTTGTGCACCTTCTACTTTTTAAGTCCCTTACCAGACAAGGGTAAGAAATAAACCGTGGTCCTCGAAAGCGTATTGTTCAGGTGTTATTGTACGGGCAGATGAACAAAAGCACCTATTCTAGCGAAAAAGGTGAAAATAGATTGTTGATTACCTGTTTGCTAGGCATTACGGTAAAAACTCTTCAAAGTACATGGAAACCAAGAACATTCACAACCTAACGAAAGAAGAGAAGTGCAATAAATGATGCATTATACACTTTGAGCAGGGGCTTCCTTCTGAATGGCAAGAAAATGATTAAAAATTTACACAAAAAGTATTTAATGAGGTGCAGTACCAGTGGCACATACTACACCAATTTTATTGTTTACTCAATACAAACGACCTGGTAACCGTTGAGACACCAAGATAATTGTTTGATTAAAGTAATTTATCTGTCTCCTCAACTCTCTGGCGATGTGGTACATAGCCATTCTTGACCTTCATGCCAAAGGTACAATTCACAATTATACACAGCATAACGAGCAGTTTTTGGCGTACCATACGGAATTTTGTTCCTCCGTAATCTGAGACAGAGACGTCTGCTATTAATGAGTTTGTTTCTGAGATCGAATATTGTAATCAATCTTTTACACGTTTCCCTCAAAAGTACTTAGGATAGCGTTGCACAGATGAACTACTATGTCGCTGAAGAGACGGGAAGGACCAGTGTACTCGGAAATGTACTGCTGCATGACATATGAAACGTGCATGTATGTTATTCTAGATGATAGGCTTGTGATAATCTAATCACCTGACTAAGCACTCAATGTATACCAAAACTGAACCAACAACGGTGTTTACGTGTAGGTTTGTTTTCAGCGCTCTTATTGTAGCAAAGGCTAACAGAAGAGTGCATGGTATTTTTAATACAAAATTAGCGTGTTATACCTTGTAGGTGCAAATATTTGACTGGTGCTAGATCCGAAGTGGATGTGATAGTTGATCTGCCAAATATTCTTGGAATCAATACCCGAAAATATTCCTCTTCACACCATCTATTGCCCTGTTCGTGCTTGATGAGCTGTCTATAGACACTGACCCCAATTAAAACAAATGATACAAAGCATTTCAAACTATCTCATATTGCTGTCCAAATTTTTTTTAGTGCTAGCGTGAAAAGATGATATTTACCATAAACTGTTCGATCAGAACCATATACACAACAAATTGATACCTAGCAGCTCGCTATGCATCATAATTACTTCTTGTCTCTTCATAATTGATAAAATAGGTCAATCACACGTTTAAGTACAAACATATAGCACCTTATGTGAATCATTTATAGCTTTAAAACCAAGCTTGTACAAAAAATATTATACTCTGTGCACGATTTTGGAATGTTAGTTTAGGTTATGGAGATAAATTATCCGGTAAAATATTGGGTTAGGAATTAACATTGTATCGCGTTACGTACAAGAATAAAATTGGTGGACAGTTGCTACCGATTCGCTTACTACTCGTCACCTTAAATGGAATGGCGAGGTTGCAATTTATTTCACCAAAAAGGAATATCAAAGAATAAACTTTGGTACATACACGGTCGTGTTTACTTAATTATGATACAGACGAACCGACCTATCTCTTGTTCAAATTATAAAATATGGTCAATAGCAGGATTCGCTTCACTTTTTTGTTGTAGAACAAATAGCACAGGAAGTGCTTATCATCGCTTAGCAGGGCAATCCGATTTTCCAGTGAAAATATCAGCGTGCTATTTATTCCTACCGTGTTCTGTATGCAAATAACGAGCATTTTGATCATCTTCTCCGCATCAAATCTATCATTGCACATCAGAATCAGGAATATGTCATTCTTTATTTCGGAAAACTGCTTCAGCTTGAAATCGTCCCTCTTCAATTTGCATTTGCCCTTAAGGTTGGCCAACTCAAGAGTGTTTATCAGGTGTGCTATGGTGTTCTTGTAGTTTTGTCTTTTTCGCTGTTTCTTTGTGTATTTACATGAATAGGCTTCTAAATTGATGCTGAAATTTTTCGCCTCTAGCTGGTTGAATATCGCATTTGCCTCTGAGATCAAACTCATTTCAAGATATCGCATGCAAGGGGTACCGTGTTGGATGCAAAAATAGAATGTCGTGAAAAGGGACATATAAGAAATGCTGAATTCATTTACCGGTGTTCTTCACATTAAGCACGTACATTGATTTCGTAATCAGGGGGGCGACTTGCGCGCAAAAAAGGTACAGAATGCTCAACCGTGGATAAAAGGCCGAACGATTTATATCGACCCAGCGGATCACAACAACGTGTTGATTTGGATGGTAATGGGGATGAAGTAGTGAATAAGCGTGTGCTCAGTAAATACACCAATGATACGTACATTCTGAGAAGAAAAACCAGAGTAGTGCGCAAACTATCACCTTTTTTGCTAAAAGCATGTTTATCACAGCAAAATATTGGTCATTATCAATCAGAACTATGAGGTTCTCAATTGTTGTAATTACAGCGCTGAGTATTCAACAATAGCCTGAAAGGAATGTCAGTATTGAGTGGACATGAAAGAATTGTACAAGCGTTATTAATGAGTGTGCACAGCGAAGAATAGAGCTGTCTTGAGATGTACATCAATTTATGTTTAGACCCTACATGGAGAACTGTCATTCGTAGACCTTGACAAAAAATATTGCAAATTTTGGCGTATTGAACATCAACCAATTGGCTCCATGGATGTATCAGGTATATTCTCAGGTCACACACTTCAAATACTTGTATCGTGCCCATGATTGATCGTCCTTGCCGCCTCTATCTGAAGTCCTCATTGCTTATATCAAGTCACTACGAATGTGTACCACTACAATAGTAAATTTGCCATATTTTCGCCACAAATCGTCTGTTTTTCACCACCAGCTACCCATGTTTATGTCACTGACCGAAGTGGCAAACACATTTAACTCAGTTCTATAATATTTTCATCTTGCTATCGCTTGTACTTCGCACGAAAAAGGCAAAGAAACACGCCTACTTAGTGGAGATGAACAGCAAGCATTGTCATCGTGGTGACCTATGTGTAACGAAATGGCACGTTCTTATGCCAGTGCTCTACGATTTTTATTTTATAGCAGAGTAACCCATGAAAATTTTGATCACGTCAGACAGCCATCTCGGTTACAGGGAAACAGATCCTTTGCTTTCTCTTGACTCATTCAATGCCTTTGAGGAAGCTTTGCGGGGTGGTGAAGACTGTGATCTGATGATCATAGCCGGTGACCTGTTCCATAATAACAGGCCAAGCCGATTTACGATGTACAAAACTATTCAGCTGCTGAAGAAACACGTGCTCGGAGACAAGGAGATAAAGGTGCTCTCTAACAAACAATTAAACTACGGCAAGCCAAACATAAACATTTCTTTACCTGTGATCGTGATCAACGGCAACCACGATGATCCCTGTGGCTTTGGTTCACTGTCTGCGCTTGATGTGCTGCATCAAACAGGACTGGTGAACTATGTTGGAAAAATAAACAACTACGAGCGAATCGTGGTAGAACCTTTGATACTTAAAATGGAACGGACTGTCGCCCTGTACTGCCTGTCCCATGTGAGAGATAGCAGGCTCTACAAGCTATTCTCACAAAACAAGATCGAGTTCTTAAAATCAGATGCGGACGTAAATATCCTGATTGTTCACCAGAACAGAGTCGAGAGAAATCGCAACGATTATTTGCCAGCGGATTTTATACCCGACTTCTTCAATCTCATCGTATTTGGACATGAGCATGATCCCCTGCTCTTCGAAAGGAATGAGCAAACGTACTTGCAATGCGGCAGCACGGTAAGGACTTCGTTGTGCGAGGCTGAAACGGGCAAAAAGTACTTTTACAAGTTAGATGTGGGCGAGAGTATAAAAATTGAAAAAATCGAGTTAAAGAGCGTGCGTACGTTCCTTTTCGACACAATCAGTGCAGGCACCAAGGAAGCTGTGGAATTGAAGTTGGATGAAATGCTTGACACAGTGAACAGATGCGAAAAATGCGAAAAAGTAGCTTTTTGTGCAGCCTGTAGACCGTTAGTAAGATTGCGATTGGAGGGAGACATCAGTTTTAACAAGTTTCATCTTCAGAATTCGTATGCGGACCGGGTTGCCAATCCAAGCGATATTTTTCTGTTCGTTAAAAAGAAGAGGCCAGCTGTTATCAGAGAGAACAAGCCTGTACATATAAGAAGCACTAACATATACGAAATTATACACACTCACCTTCTATCTTCTAATCTTGGAATTGTACCTGAGTTGATGTTCATCGATAAATTCAGGGAATACGTAGAGAAGGAAAACAAGAACGTGTTCCAGGATTTTGTTGATGGGTTGGAAGCGCACAAGAACAATACGATTGTAGGATGTGAGACAGAACATTTCAAGAACCTAAAGGATGCCATGAACAGAAAGTTTATCAGAGAGAACAATGTAGTGATTAATGACGATGAATGCGATGTCCCTGATCAAAAAATGGCCTCGACCAATGTAGTGATTAATGACGATGAATGCGATGTCCCCGATCAAAAAATGGCCTCGATCAATGAGAACAACAGTTCTTTAATATACGATATGGATGATCCCAGGGCCAGGCATCAAGCAAATCTTGATTTCATAGGCGAAGAGGACATTGTGAAAAGAGGCAGGTTTCAGAGCAGTAAACGGTACAGCCTATCAGAAGAGGAGATTAACAATTTTGATGTCATAAACTACGCCAAGGATCACAACTTGATCAGGCACGATTTCAGCAAAAAGGCACCTACAAAAAACGAGGAGGGTGAAAAAAATAGCGAAGAAAAGTTCACCTTTTCAAATTTCCTTTAGGTTTACTTATTTTCGGTGGAGTCTGATTCATCACACATGCAATAATAATATGCCCCGTTGATATACAGCTCGTATAAGATGTCAAAAACTTCCAAATCATAGTCGTTCTCTCGGAAAAAGTCGAACAAAAGGCACTCGGCTTCCTTTTTGACCTTGAGCTCGGTGCCTTCAGAAGTGTGATCGAGCAGGCTGAACTTCTTGGTTAATCTTCTATTGTTTAGGTAATCATTTCTTGATAGCGCTATCTCAACACCACAGACATAATTTTCTTCGTACCAACAGCGCAGCGACTCGATCCATGATATGGAGAAATCTTCCTCTTCTAATGGCAGAAGGTCACGGAATGATGGGCAGTTCTGCGCGGCTTTCTCCCAAAAGTTCGCGCCCTCATCGCTACTTGGCAGGTCCTGGATAAAATCGTCACGCTCTCTCAGAATCGGTTTCAACGAATTAAAATACTCCAATTTAACATTAAAATCGTTTTTTGCAAACTCCTTGTACTCCTGATCCACCCTTGACTGGAACATGTTCAGCTTCCCTTCCAGGTCGTTGTTGTTTTCCATTATTTAGGGAGATGAAAAATTATTGAATTTATATGGACGCGTTTTAGTGATCTAGTTACGTGACATAAAATGACAGATAAGTATGTGTCAGGGGCTTTTGCATACGGATATGATTGTTAATCGGAACATTATTTTTTGTGCTATTACTTACGATAAAAACACTCTTTTAGCCAGCGTATCACGTGTAAAATGACATAACAGCATCTTTTCCTGGATAGAAAGCATCACCTTGCCGTCACTTCTTGGTAGACACGCATATTTTTGCTCATAATTCCTTCTTATTCTAATAACGCGTATAAAACTCTGGATAATGAGCGGAATTAGGCTTTAGGATACGAAAATGGTTGATAATCGATGTTGCGCGCTGTGTAAATAGCGTGGCAGTGAACAAAGCTATTACCTATCAGTTTAAAAATTGCGGTTTGGAAAATTCGTTTGACATGGTAGATGGATAAAACGTTTGTCACACCAAATTTTTTACGAAGCAGGAGAAAAATCTTTTCTGTTCTACCGCTGCTTTGCACTCGAAATGAAAGATGACAGGCTCGTACCACCGTGGTAGCCGAAGGCATTGTAAAAGGAACGTTTGCACACTTCTACATACAAGAAATAACAAAACATGAAAATGGTCCCGAACAGTAAGTGACAATGTGCAAAAACGGACCGTAATGCACCGTTTGATGCCGATACAGCGAAATAAACGAGCAGACCACGGCCGTACCATGTATATATCCGGCAATAGTCTCTGCAGATAAAACAAAAAAGGTATTTTGATGTACGTGCTGTGGCAAGAAAGACAGACCTAAGTCAGCACCTGATGCAAAGAACCCTCTAAATATGAGCTCATCGCACCATATCAACAGCTAAAGCCGCTTAAATCATAAGAGACAAAGCACCACCATCGCGTGAGCACAGGGGTATGAAAAAGAAACAGGTGAAAATCCGTGAATAATTTAATTACTCACCAACAACACTCCTCCTGGATATGTAAATGCCATCCATGAACTTTCGACTGTCAAAATTCTTCGGCCGGCAATTATCCTGAACACTACCAGCAGATTGCGAAACATCCTCGATGCATGTGCCAGAAATCACAACAGTGTCCTTGTCTGTTCCCAGGCACGCAACAGAGTCTCCCCGCATGTTGAAGTGTCTGCTGCTCTTCTCGCCTAAATAGTTTTTGACCACCAATTTTTTGCCGTTGTCTACGATATCAAATGATATAGGAAAGTGCACATACGCCGCCTTAAGCACGTACTCATAGCCTTTGGTGACACCCAATATCATATTTTTAATATGCGAAGCACATGTGATCAGCTTGCTTCTCTCCTGGCGCCTTGCGTTCCAGAGTCTCAACCTTATGTGACCCTCATGGACATCCATGATCAGAACAAGGTGCGAAAAATTACGTGTTACTCTTTTTCCATTGCATTCTATGGAGAGCACCTTGTCCTTGATGGTTACGTTGCAACCCTCAGGAACGCTGATCTTTTTCTCTGTGTAAAACTCAACCATAGGGTTAAAAATTTTGAGAAAATAAATTTCTTGTTCTGCCTAGCAGCTGCACAGATGCTTGAACCGGGATGTACAAAGAATACGTGAAATGTTGACAGAAAAGCACAAATTAGGGATGTGAATGCTATGTTTCTGTTAAAAAACAAAAGCAGCCACAGACAACTTCATAGGATCGGTATAACACAATGGTCAAATCTCTTATCCAAAATGTTTGTCACATCGCTAAATGCGAACAGCAGAATACCACGATTATGAACGTGGTCATTAACGAAGATTCTTTCAACGACTGCATGGCACATAACCTGAAAAGGGTACGTAAGAGTCCTAGATGTGTAATTAGGTCAACCGTCAGATCTCATATTGGAAGTTCTAAGCTTGCTTTTCTCCTCGTGGGAGCAAACTTGGTCTACACATGCTTAGGGGTGGAATGTAAGCAGGTCATCGCCAATAAAACCGAACGGCAGGTTATCACACCCGCTGGTCCATGTGGATAAGTTTGGTTATGGCGATTTAATCAAAATCATACCGTCTGCTCGTGTTGCGCAGAGCTCATTCAATTACTTGGAAAACAAGAATATAGAATAGACCACCAGTGTTAAAGGCATGTTTGATCGAATAGGTGTGCTAAATAAAATTACTGCTAAACAGTGAGCAAGTGGCTAAGTACACGTATTAAAGTTGTCTACACATGACTTGGTGATGCTAAATATTTAAAACGCTCAACACAAGCATATTTGAAGAATATGTGCTATTTACCAGCAAATTTTACGAAAAGATCTAAAATTGTAACGAAAAAATAATTTTCTGCTACAACTATCAAAAATAGGTGTCGCAAATTTATAAGTTCAGTTTTTCGTAACGTTGACCATTTATCTGAGATACCACACATCGCAATGCATAGGCATTCATGTGCACCGTGAAGATGTTTGTGCATCTTGCCTTATCGATCGAGGAGCATTATTTTTATCAATTGCATCGATATAATACGATGAATACGCGTATAAAACGGTAAAAGAACTTTATTTAACTACCTCAATTACTGAGGAACTAGTGCAACATCTTTGTTGGCCTTACAAGCTTTTCTGCTATCTCATGTACTCTTCTACGTCATCAAAATCATACGATACTTTAAGAACTAGCGAACAGCTTGGACACGTTGCTTTGGTCTCTCCAATCATTAACTCATCAACAGTGATTACGAACTTGTCCCCACACGGACACGGATAGACGTACGCTTTTCGCTCCTCATCATAAGTGAAATCTTCCAAATCCACTTCATCATAATATGGCTGTGCCTGCTCGAAGTAAGTTTCTATCTCCTCGAGAGTAAATACTTTGTTCTGAAAAGGGGGCATCTTGTTTTTAGGGTCCGATTCTCTCGCAATTTATTTGCTACCATGAACTAGGCATGCGATCACGAGCAACGCACAAGGCAGCGATCAACAGCTCCCCGGTCAAAGGGATCAACGCTAATTCGCATTGTACGGTACACAAGAACCGTAAACCGGCCAAACGCCTGTTCCCTCTGCGACAAAGTATTGATAAAGTGCGCTTCTATCGGTTTATACGCGTATAGATTGTGTATTAGCGGGCGAATGGAAGGACTAATTCCATGGTGGCGATAAAATATTAAATATTCCGCTGAAAATAGATCAAAAATACAAATAAAAAGTGGTTGAAACGGTGGTATGGCTTTTTGTAATAAATTATTAGAATTGTTAGCTCCACATTTTTTATTCAAAAAGTATTAGCAGATATAAAGGGACTAATACAACTTATTTAGCATTTACGCTGTGATATTCTATCGCAACGATTGCATTTGTGCGTGTTTACCCGGAAATAGGATTGCAAATACATCCCACTCGTTGAATGTTTCTAGCCATAAATCATCTTTGCACGGGTTAACGAGTCATCATAGGCCTCAATTAATGAAATGCTATTTTTTACTCATATGGTTTTCTGTACAATTCGCACAATGCGTGTAAAGCTGAAAATACCCACTTAATGCTATACGAAGCATCCATCTCACCTCTTTGCTTGGACCCTAGTTGTAACTCTAAGATTCAAACATTTACCACCAAACAGCATGTGCTACTGAACTTACCGGTATCGCATCAAACAGAGAAAGGATTACCTCGAATTAGTAAATGAGCAAAAACTGTTTTTATACCACCGATTCGCGAGGGGTACGATGAAAAACAAAATTGAGATCGTAAAAAGTTCCGCGAGGACAAACCGGATCAAGAGGACGATGATAAAATTCAAGTGCACAAATGAACGGAAGTACACTCTGATAACAGCGCAAATTATGGGATATGTTGCAACACCGTACACCGAAAAATGCTTTATGCAGAGTATTCCGGTACCTCTGCTCGTGAACGAGATATTCGTTAGCAAAACAATTTATTTTCATGCCTTCTTGCCTTCAAATCTGCCGCCCTCCGTCAAAACGCTCCAATCTTCGATCAGATATTTCGTTGTTGTGAAGGTTTTTGATGGAAAAGACGAACTTGCCAGTATAAAGGGAAGATTTAAACTCGTTTCGGACACCAATATATATAATTTTAGAGAAATTTACATGTTGAACCAGAGCTGTTGTCGTGTAGGGAGCAAAACCTACGAGGGCCCTGTTGTAGCTTCAATAAGAAGCAAGTTACACAGCTGTGATCAAATGAGGAGCTTGGCGAATGTATTAGATATGAATACGGGAAGTGAGCCGTTTAGTACGACGGGAGATGGAAAATCGGATCTGGAATTAAAAAACGATGCAGTTTATGAGGTGTTCAAGGAGGGAACCAAAGAGAACATGAAGGACAAGAGTCTACAAAATGTGATGAAAGAGCTGAAAATTGGAGAAAATAGGACAGAGGAAGAGCTCCTCGGATACAAGCTTTCGAAAATAAGCGAGCTGGGTCTGCTAAATGAGATCAAAACGGCTAAGTTAAAATATAAAAGAGAAAACAAGCCAAATCTCCATGTTCTACTCGATAATGAAAAAAAAGAGGAGCAAACAGACATTAAATTGGTCATCAAGGATAAAAAGGTGAAATTAGCAGAAATAAGAATGAAAAACTTTCTTTATACCAACGATGAGAACGTGCTCGACATCAAGTTATTGAAAGAAATGAAGAAAATAAAAATTGTGGTAAAGATGAAGGAAGAAGCTGAATACTCTAACAAGGAAGCAATCCTGTTCATATTTGAAAGAGAGAACTTGGAGTACTTGGTACATTTGAACGTATTTCTAATGCAGTTCGCACAATGTACGTTCAACTCAGATTTGTTCAAAGTTAATTTTTTTATTGAATTAAAATTCAACTCGTACAAAAGCAGAGTGCCCTTAACAGTGAGACGCAACGTTTTATATGATTAAATGGTTAAGCATTCAATAACACTTACAATACGGGTTCTTCATCCTTTCTTTCGTCTGATCCTTCGTCATTATCCTCGTCACTTTTCTCCTCAGCACCCTCTCCCTCGTCAACGACTCCAAATTCTCCATCTTCCTCCGTTACCGTGTTTTCAAGACGCTCGTCGTCATCATATCCACCCAATTCCTTCGGAAATATTTCGTCAATAAGCATTTTCTCCAATAACTCGTTATTTCTCGCTTCTTTACTGTTGTACCTGTCCGTATATCGTTCTATCTCTGTTTTATCCTCCATTTCAAGCCTATGTTCGCTTATGTTCGCCCGTATTTTTTTTTCGTTTTCGATCAACCGTCTGTCCACAGGCCCGTTGTTAAAATTTAAGTTCATAGGGGCACGCACGAAAATCTGAAAATTGCCGTTGTTCTCGACCGCGCCGATCATTAGACGAGCTAACGTATTCACATCTGTTTAAAAACTTGATTACATTGTTCATCATATTTCTGTGCGATTTGCATTGATTCTACGCATTTATTGGTTCATCCATACCTGATAGATGTATTGTTTGCACACTTCTATATCAACACAATCACAAACTATTTTAGTTCAGATAATCACTCTGTAACTTTGAATAAAATGTAAAACTGTTTAATCTTTGATAACAGCACAAAAAAGCACAATAAGTTGACTCACAATCCGTAAATAATTGTTAAAAGAAGATGCTTTGTTTGCTGTGGCATTTAAGCTCCTTATTTTAGCAAAAAAATTTGCTATCACTTTAGGACACAACAGACAAAGGTAATTAACATTGTGCTATGTTGTTTATAAATGGAAATTCCCTAGATAGTGTGTGTAAATTTGAATGTAGGTCAAGCGAATGCCAGAATAGCATTTTTCAAGGAGTATTCGCTGAGTGGAACAGATTCGTTTTGGTTACGTTGTGCCAAGTCAAATTCGTAAATAAATATTTTTAGTGTCAGTCTGCAGGTAAATCCGCCCGCTATACGCTACCGGCTGTAAAATGATAAATTGTTGAAAATGCGACCTCTCTATGTAAATGTTAATTAATCTTAATCGAGCAATGCTTACCCCAGAAGATACCAGAAATTTATAAAAATTCCAATGTACCAGTGACGAGCGCTATACCCCAAATCATGAGTTTTATGCGCTCAAATCAACCGTAACTTTTCATTTTAACTAAGTAACAACAAATATGTCCCACCCCTCGACTGCAAATCTCCATGATATTCAACCTAAATAATAATATGATTTAATCATAGTTTCATGGTGTCTAAGTTAGCAACAACTTTGGCCGTTCTGTCGTACAAATCAACATTTTTCTTCAAATCATCATCCTCGAACACATCTTCTAGGAAAAATTCATACTCTCTATCGCGTTCTCTCTCCGTATTAACCGACAAATTTAAATTTTTATAATTTTTTCGAACCAAAATCGCCTTGAACAGGTCCCGGTCAATAAAATGAAGATTACAGTTCCCCAAATCGTAGCCGTAAATTTCATCGTCTTCATTTAGAATGCTGCCCAAATGCGATTTACAGTGCACGTCATTGTTGTACTCCCTTGTTACGAAGCAATCAACCGATTTAAAACCCCATTTATCCGTTTCTACGGTACCAAAGGCTTGCCGATAATCCCGCTCGACTTCTGTCACTCTGAACAGGGTCAAATCCTTGGATGTCATCACAACGTTGAAGCATTCCCTGTTGGACCAAAAACACTTATTTGTGATGTCGATTGTCTTTGAACTGACGGGATCGACGAGTGTGATCCTTCTAGACACCTTGAGAACCAGCATCAGTCTGCTGATATTGCGTTTCTTCGCGAACTCTTCGCTCAGAACAACAAGATCGTCCTTGCACAGAGGGAATATTTCAACTGAGTAGCTAAACTTGTATTTCATTTTGTTGTTATTTCTGTCTTCTGTCATCAATCGGTTAGAAACCAACAACTTCGTTCCTATGGCACCCTCCAGAAAGTTAACCATTTCGCACGCGCTGTGCCTATCCAAGTAGTAGAAGTCAATACCATCCTTTCGCTCCTTAATATTTGTGCACTTCTTGTACATCTTGTGCTTCAGAATGGACTGTTCAAGGTACAAAAATGTTCGCTTGCTTTTGGATCGCTGTCTGATCTGTACTATGCTTGTCCAGTACTGTTTAGCCTCCATCTTATCACAATCAGGGCACTGCTTGTTTCTAATCTTAAATACCACGTCAATATTACATCGCAATTCATCCTTTGCTATCTCCAACTCAAGAATGATCCTTCTGGAATGCTCTTCAGTTTTCTTAAATCCTGAGTCAACAATATTCAAATTTCTGATTTCTTTATGTCTGAGCAAAAGAAAAGAAAGCAAATCAGTTTCGTTTTCCAAAACGATCCATTTCTTTGGTGGTAACAAATATCGATTACACTTTTTGCAGCTCTCCACGGCGTAAGACAGTTTTATGCCCTCGGTTATATCAATCTCAGCGCTTCTGCAGCGTGTGCACATGTTAAGACAGTTGGGCAGAATGCTTATGCCACACTTGCAACAACTAATGCTATACTTGCACTCCTCGTATTTCTCGTTGTCATTTAAATCCATGGGGGTGAAGAAAAATGGCAGTGTAAAAAAGTTCTACTGCAAAATATGGCACGAGAGTTGTTCACAGAATACTGCAGAATAAAAATGATATGAGAAAAATTATGTCATTTATATAAAAATAACAATGACATGAAGGTGTTTCTCATACATTTTATTTTAATCATCTGATTAGCTTTCGACTCATATTTCAACTTATACTGACAATATATGATAGTATATACAAATCGCGGTAATATTTTCCTAAGACAAGCTCAAGCGACAGAGCACAAGATACAATGCTTCACTTTAAATTACGTTTAATAATCGATGCTTAATCAGTTCAATCATAACCACAGGGATCAAAAGAATTTTCTACTTTTTGATCC